ATGTCAGTTACTCGAATTTTTTTCTCAAAAGTGGGTGGTATTTCGAGGGTGTGCCAAATGACTAAAAATGATTGTAATTGAGTCCCGCAACCGAAAATAATTTTTTCAAAATGATTTGAAATTTTGTAATTTTGTCGAAAAATGTCATAGTTACTCGAATTTTTTTCTCAAAAGTGGATAATATTTCGAGGGTATGTCTATTCACAAAAAATGATTATAATTGACCCCTGCAGCTAAAAATAATTTTTTTAGAGCGATGCATCGGCAATTAGAAAAGCAGTAGATGCTTTTAAAAATGAATCGTTAATTCAGAATTTAATATTTATCAAAATACATTTTCAAACTTTGCCCGATAATGTAACAAAATTCGAAACTATTGGAATGCCTTTAAGTGGATCGATGAAATTAGTGGCGAATATAGATCAAAATTTTAGGAGCCTTCCCGGAATTTGCGGAGAGAAAATCATAACAAAATGGAATGCAGTTTTAGCAAGAAATCCCGGTTACGAAGCAATATTCAAAATTAGTGATATTTTACGAGGTTAGATTGTTAAAGAACCTGAAACAATTAAAGCATGCTACTTCAGGAAACTCAAGTATGCCCCAATTACATCTTGTGACGTTGAGCGTTCGTTCTCAGCCTATAAATTGACTTTGAACGATAAACGTCGTCAACTAACCCTCGACAATATTGAAAGAATACTCGCAATATATTATAATTTAAACTACAACTGATTATTATTATGGTTAAATTAATAAAATTATTTGAACATATTTTGAGTATATTTTGCATAGTATACTTGGCATATTATTTGACATATGTCACTTACATATTTTAACACATTTTATCGACATAAACATCCGCTGTCTAGTTATGATGAGTTAAAATGGCGCGCCTAATCTACACGCGAGTTATCAGAGATGACGAGCAACGCGATAGAACGAAATTATACTCCATTATTTTATACTCCATTATATTCCAAGTGGCAATGAACGCAATAGAACGAAAATCACGTGCAATCGTGAATTATTATTTACAATACACAACACTAATGTTTAACACCCCTTAACGCTGATATGTTCGAGTCTGACTGCTTTGAAAAACCATATTTGTTTAATCTGTGGCGCTGCTTCGCTGCGGTAGGAACTCGAACTATCGTAGGAGGACAGAAAAGGAACAGAGGGGGCGCTAGTGGACTCGTCTGTAAGGCTTTGTAGCAGGCGAGTTAGACGACTGAGATATTGGGAGTGTATATATAGCAACCAAGGGGTCAGTCGAGCGCTTGTGAGAGCGTGACCCCTCTGGTGGCGAGCATGAGAGGCGACGCCACAAATCCAACGATTTAAGGGACGACAACATTTGTTTTCCCCGAAATTATAGGTTAGATACAACATTGTAAATAACAAAGATCCCAATTTTTATATAGCTTAGAAACATGTCCAATAAAGAAAACTGATCATTCTTGGTCAACACGAAAAATAATGAGCGTTAAGGATTTAACGCTTTGTAGCTTATTGAATTATTAAAATATTCGTTTTCTTTTTACCGTGTCACTCTTTCGAGTTTCTTCATGCCGAATAAAGGGAAGGAAATTTGTGATAAATGAGGAATCATCCTGTTCCTTTGCATTTCAAATGCATACGGAACAAAGTAGCTTGAGCGGGTGGTTTCTTTGAAAGCGGGTTGGAATAAGTCTCTCTCGCGGAAAAATCGGAAAGAAAAGGCAATGGAAGACGAGCAGATGCATAGAAAGAACCCCGCACTAATTACATGGGAAATTTAATCCCGGTTAATCTCGTTCATTTTCACATATGTTGTAGCTTATGACCTGGTGAACAAAAAATGTAATAGGCAAAAACGTCTGTGATGGATAGTTACTGAGATACAGCTAATCAAACGGCAAAAAGAAAAGTTACGTTAGGCTCGCGCTGTCTCGCATCGGCAGGACGCAACTCTCCTTATTCCTTGTTTTTTCTAGAAGCGGGTAAGCAAAGATAGGGTGCAATTCTAGAAAAGCTACCGCCTCATCTGTATACATACATTGAAAAGAATTCTCTCCTGGGTAAAATTACATACTAGTGCAGTACAATCGTTACGAATCGTACAGAACGTTGACATAACGTTATACAGTATTTTCGCAAGCAACTGCTTTTTTGCCATTGTTCCTGTTTTTATATATCTACAGTTTTATATTATATTTTATATTTATATTGATATTATATATAGTTTTTTTTATATATACAGAGGTATTAAAAAACATTGTATCCAAAACTATCAGGGAGTGGTCCTTCTACAGGTTCACCTAACATTAAAACATATTTTCGCATAATTCGAAAACTGTGGCCAACCGAAACATACGTATATGTATAGTAAAAGGTTATTCCATATGTTGATGACTTCAACATATTTAAAAATCATCCGAATCGTTCAGAAAGCTGCTTTCCTCGAACTTTACTAAGGACAACTCAGTCAGAATTAGCAATATTGAAGTTCTCGTTTGGATGTTGTTGCGGTGGTCTGTGAGCAGCATCTAATAGTGTTTCTAACAATAACGAAGACGGATAACGAACATTGTCTTGATACCTTGCATACCCTAGGTACCACAGCACACTTGCCACATGTGAACATGTACCAAGGGTCCTTGCACCAGATTTACAGGTACAATAATAACCTAAAATTGGCTCGGTATCATCGTCTACACCATCTGATTCAAGAATGTTGTATGCTATAAATATTTGATGTTTTGTAGCATTTCTAAACCGTGAAAACACTCGTACCCTTATGAGACCAGGTTCGTCAAGGAGCGAATCTAATTGAAACTCTTCTGTGTCGTCACGCTGCATTTTATCCTGAACGTAAGATCGTGCCAGACGAACCTGGAATGTTCCAATCGTCAAATCTCGTAAATATTCTAAGGTCAGGTGCGGAAAATTATGTAAATGCTCGTCATTTAAATGTATCCACATTGCATTTCTATAGCACAGCCTTTCAATTTCAACTCGTGCGTGCACAACATTAACTTCTTTGGACTTATGAAGAAGTTCTTGTGCCAATTCTGTATTAGCGCCTTCCATTTAAATTAGCGGGTGATATTTGTTAATTATAGCCCCTGCAATATTATAAAATTCACCAAGATGATGAATATGGTGCATATTAATTATGTGGTTAAAAAACTTAAAAATAGACTTAATATGCCCATTTCTAGTTTCAACTATCCATCTTGTTTTCGTCACCAATCGAGACTCATTTGCCTCTTCGGTAGATAGTTGTTTCTGATGGCATTCAAGTAAGGCTGGCATCCTGTAATGAATGCCTAATTCACGTAGTAACGGTTGGGCATCTCGATACCCACGATCTAATACGAAAATATCGCCATCTTGGAACCATTGTCTCATATCATTCACGTCGCGTTCAAATTCGCTATTTAACATTCGAGCATCATTATTTCGCGAGTCAGAAAAGTATGGTCCTTGAATAACCAGTATATATCCATCTGGAGCAACTATTAACGCTGGTTTTACCAAATGTCGACCTTTATGTACGGAATACGTTTGTCGTAAAACACGATAGTTACTACTTTTGTTAATATACGAATAAGTCCCATCAATATAAGCAATTACTTTTGAAATACTCGGTTCAGAATTGTATAACTCATTTGCAAAAGACGTAACATGATTCGTTATATATTCATCTCGAGTTATTGCTTGAAAACCAATATTCATCGGGACAAATCTTTGTAATAAAGACTGTCGAACTTTGGTAATAGCTAAACTTACCGACTGTCTAGAGGAATATCGAAAAATGACTTTAAGAAATTCGTCAGATAATCCTTGCCGTAACTTACATAAAAAAGTCAAAAGGTCTTTTTTACTAATGTTTCGGAAACCGTGTTCTTGAGGCACTCGATCGCAGTATGTATACAGATCCTGAAACTGTTCTTTTGTAATAGGTGCTACAGTCTTAAAATCATCATCTGTAAAACAGTTTTCATTGTCGTAGCAACTTTTACTGTTCGCTACATCTCGAAGTGCCTGTAGAAAAGCTTGCAACTGCTGCCCTTTTATTACAAATGGTCTATTTATGTAACGCAAGGCGGAAAGTAATAGTTGTAAAATATGACCATTGTTATCTAAATGTCGATTACAGCAATTAACATATTCAGGGATATAAATATTTTTCATAACGAAAACATTTACCCTGCATTCTAGAGAAAGCCGATGGACATTCGCAGAGGAATTGCAAAATATACATGAACTATTTCGGGTTTGAGTAACAATGTTCAGTCTTAAAGAAGCTGGATCGCGATTTATTTGCTTTATTTCATCCTCAATAGATAAATTACAATTAAAACATAGCCGACTTTCAGCCCCTATATCAATGGGTTCAGAACCTAATCGGTGGCGTCTAAGAATTCCAATTTCCTTTTTGATAACAATTTCTTCGCCATTTATTCGCGACATTTGTCGATTACGAAAACTACGACTGCAAACATAGCAGCAAGTTCGATTTCTATATGCCATAATGTAACAGTTTAAAAATAGAGCGCGCGTGCTGCGCTAAGCAATCGGACAGCGGAATGTATTACTACAGTGTTAGCGTCGATTTCGTCCTCCAGCATCGGCAACGATTTCATAGCTTTCGGCTGGCTAGCTAAACGCGAGATCCCTCATGCAGCGTAGTCCCTCACCACTTCTGACAGATCGACGGTGCGGTGGAGGGGGAACTACTAGCGAGGTGGTAAAGCGGAGAGAGACCGCTGGTCAAAGTCAAAGTGAGACGTAGCGCAAGCCTACCGTAACTTTTCTATTTGCCGTTTGATTAGCTGTATCTCAATAATTATCCATCACAGACGTTTTTGCCTATTACATTTTTTGTTCACCAGGTCATAAGCTACAACATATGTGAAAATGAACGAGATTAACCGGGATTAAATTTCCCATGTAATTAATGCGGGGTTCTTTGTAGTTTGTAAACGAAAACCCGACGTTCATTTTTCCAGGAGGACTTACAACCTCGCAAGGATGCGGGACCGGCTATCGTGGTACATGGTCTTTCTGATCCTGCCGACAATTCTCCTGGCCAGGTCGCTCGATAAAGGTAAATAATATTCTACGGACCGTTTAACCTGCTCCATTTCCAAGTTCCAGTCTATTTACGTTTCTATCTTAAATAACTGTTTACGTTCCATGTAAAAATGAAATAAATTCTAAGGACGATCTTGCTTCCTTTAACACATTGACTAGCACGTTACCCATATACAGAGTGGCCACACCTGGGAAAAATTTTAATGGGAGATTCTAGAGACCAAAATATGACGAAAATTAAGAATAGCAATTTGTTGATTGAGACTTCGTTAGAAAGTTATTAACGTTTAAAGTTAAAGTGTGCAGCGCGCGCGGTTCCCGTCTCATAGGCGCAACTTTAAACGTTAATTACTTCTTAACGAAGCCTCAATCAAGAAATTGCTATTCTTGATTTTCGTCTTATTTTGGCCTCTAGAACCCCCCATTAAAATTTTCCCCAGGGATAGCCAAACACCCGGTATAGATGACATAAATTTTCACTGATGAGTTAAAAAAATTATTTCTCAAGATTAGATGTTAAAAAAAAATAAATCTTGGTAGAACATACAAATTTTAAAGAGGGTCTAAAAATAAGTTCTACGACAAATATGCTAGGGTCCAGTTGTCTAAAAACAAAATATCGTTTTCGTAGACAATTTGAGGAGTTTGGTGTGGCAATCAACGTGTTAATACCTGCATTTGAAACTTATCGCTTCTATCTTAAATAACAGTTTACATTCCATGTAAAAATAAAATAAACTATGATTTCCTTTATATCTCCCTTTAATATCTGCGTTTAAAGCTTATGGCGTAAAAAGTCAAATTCGAAAAAATAATCTATCGAGACAATGCGTAATATTTATTTACAACGCGATATCGATGTTTTTACAAATTAACGAAATGTTGAAATTCGTGAATTCAGTCTAGTTTCTGTTGAATTCATTGTAATTGAATCGATTGTTCTATAATCACGCGTGCGATGTAACAATAACTCCTAATTAGAAATATGACCTGTTCTGCATACAAATTTTACACGGTGGAGTAATGTTTGTAACCAAAATCTATTAGCGAACGAAACCAAATACAATCGTGTCAATTCAACGCAACTGATCGAAGCTTCACGTATTACGTAATTACAGGTATAATTCGGTTAATAATTCTACAGTCACGCGTTCGATGTAACATTTCGTTCTGGCGAGGAATACATACAGTGCTGGATATAAATATTGGCACAGCATGTTGATTCTGGTACAAATGCTTGTAACCTTTAAACAAATTGATTTAAAGGAAAAACTTATCGACATATTTGTTAAAAATATGTTTCTATAATCTGTTTTTTATATCTGGTTTAACTTTTGTGTAGTAAAAGTTATTTTTGTTTTTGCGTGGTTGGCTGCATTGCTGTATGTCCCCTTTTTATGTCTTTTGGTGTGTGAAAGTGTGTCTACGAGGAGGGCACAATGTGCGTCAAATTATTACAGTCTTTTTGTTTCCTTTTTTTCTTTCCTAAATTAATAAACGAATATTGTATAAGTTGAGTTTATTTTCTTTAATTCTAACAATATTATATATAAATCTTCTACAATCCATAATTGACATTTTTCTCTCAAAATGTACATAATTGTAAATGTGGTCATTTGGGACATTTTGTGCTTTGGTAAATTCTTTATTAATTAGTAGACTGAGGATGTTTAAGCATTTATGGGAAATTTCTGACAAAAGAATTTAAAGTAAGACACAATTTACTATGTTTAAAAATTGAGACAACACTCTACAAAGCTCCCATTTCATTCTATTAATAAAACTATGAATTTTCATAAAGATTCGTTTAATAATCACACTGTGCTTTTTATATAAACTCAAACAATAACTCATCTATTAAGAAATTCTTCAACAATTATTAACTGTACTTAGACAACTACGACTTTTAATTCTTACGTTTTGCATTTTTGATATTTTATTTCGTTTTTCTTTTAACATTCATCATTTATAATATTTCTGATTCCCTACATACACCAGCTCAGAATCCAGACATGAAACTTATCGAATTAGAAATCATCATATAACAAACAAAGCAGACTCGAAGAATGTAATAAAATCAAGCTGGATTTTACAAAAAAATTAGTTGATTTGATGCACAAACGATTAAAGAAAGTCCTTGAAAGGAAAGGAGGACCAACTAAATATTAATATTTAATTGTAAGTCATTTTTCAGTGTTTTTATTCAAATGTGCCAATACTTTCATTCACCCATAAAATGTCCCTTAAATCCATTTGTATTAGTGTTTTGTGAATCATTGTATTTATATTATTGCTTCTGTTATGTGATAAACTCAAACAGATAATAAATGAATATGTGAAAAAGTTTTTCCTTCAAATCAATTTGCTTAGTAGTTATAAGCTTTTGTGCCACAACAGCCATCTTGGGCCAATTCTTATGCCCACCACTGTATATTTAAGAATATATTAGTAAATATTGAGAGATAAAGGTCAAGTATTGTGGATTGTAGAGCATTTATACATAATATGTCAAAAAGAGTTTCCTTCAAATCAATTTGTTTAGTAGTTATAAGCATTTGTGCCACAACAGCCATCTTGATCCAATTCTTATGCCCACCACTGTATATTTAAGAATATACTAGTAAATATTGAGAGATAAAGGTCAAGTATTGTGGATTGTAGAGCATTTATACATAATATGTCAAAAAGTTTTTCCTTCAAATCAATTTGCTTAGTAGTTATAAGCATTTGTGCCACGACAGCCATCTTGGGCCAATTCCTATGTCCACCACTGTATATTTAAGAATATATTAGTAAATATTGAGAGATAAAGGTCAAGTATTGTGGATTGTAGAGCATTTATACATAATATGTCAAAAAGTTTCTCCTTCAAATCAATTTGCTTAGTAGTTATAAGCATTTGTGCCACAACATCCATCTTGGACCAATTCTTATGTCCATCACTGTATATTTAAGAATGTACTGTTAAATTTTGAGAGAAAAATGTCAAGTATAGTGGATTGTACAACATTTATACATGTCAAAAAGTTTTCCCTTCAAATCAATTTGTTTAATAGTTATAAGCTTTTGTGCCACAACAGCCATCTTGGGCCAATTCTTATGCCCACCACTGTATATTTAAGAATATATTAGTAAATATTGAGAGATAAAGGTCAAGTATTGTGGATTGTAGAGCATTTATACATAATATGTCAAAAAGAGTTTCCTTCAAATCAATTTGTTTAGTAGTTATAAGCATTTGTGCCACAACAGCCATCTTGATCCAATTCTTATGCCCACCACTGTATATTTAAGAATATACTAGTAAATATTGAGAGACAAAGGTCAAGTATTGTGGATTGTAGAGCATTTATACGTAATATGTCAAAAAGTTTTTCCTTCAAATCAATTTGCTTAGTAGTTATAAGCTTTTGTGCCACGACAACCATCTTGGGCCAATTCTTATGCCCACCACTGTATATTTAAGAATGTACTGTTAAATTTTGAGAGAAAAATGTCAAGTATAGTGGATTGTACAACATTTATACATGTCAAAAAGTTTTCCCTTCAAATCAATTTGTTTAATAGTTATAAGCTTTTGTGCCACAACAGCCATCTTGGGCCAATTCTTATGCCCACCACTGTATATTTAAGAATATATTAGTAAATATTGAGAGATAAAGGTCAAGTATTGTGGATTGTAGAGCATTTATACATAATATGTCAAAAAGAGTTTCCTTCAAATCAATTTGTTTAGTAGTTATAAGCATTTGTGCCACAACAGCCATCTTGATCCAATTCTTATGCCCACCACTGTATATTTAAGAATATACTAGTAAATATTGAGAGACAAAGGTCAAGTATTGTGGATTGTAGAGCATTTATACGTAATATGTCAAAAAGTTTTTCCTTCAAATCAATTTGCTTAGTAGTTATAAGCTTTTGTGCCACGACAACCATCTTGGGCCAATTCTTAGGTCCACCACTGTTTATTTAAGAATATACTAGTAAATATTGAGAGATAAAGGTCAAGTATTGTGGATTGTAGAGCATTTATACATAATATGTCAAAAAGTTTTTCCTTCAAATCAATTTGCTTAGTAGTTATAAGCATTTGTGCCACGACAGCCATCTTGGGCCAATTCCTATGTCCACCACTGTATATTTAAGAATATATTAGTAAATTTTGAGAGATAAATGTCAAGCATTGTGGATTGTAGAGCATTTATACATAATATGTCAAAAAGTTTTTCCTTCAAATCAATTTGCTTAGTAGTTATAAGCTTTTGTGCCACGACAACCATCTTGGGCCAATTCTTAGGTCCACCACTGTTTATTTAAGAATATACTAGTAAATATTGAGAGATAAAGGTCAAGTATTGTGGATTGTAAAGCATTTATACATAATATGTCAAAAAGTTTTTCCTTCAAATCAATTTGCTTAGTAGTTATAAGCTTTTGTGCCACGACAACCATCTTGGGCCAATTCTTAGGTCCACCACTGTATATTTAAGAATATACTAGTAAATATTGAGAGATAAAAGTCAAGTATTGTGGATTGTACAACATTTATACATGTCAAAAAGTTTTTCCTTCAAAGCAATTTGTTTAATAGTTATAAGCATTTGTGCCACGACAACCATGCTGTGCCAATACTTATGTCCACCACTGTATGTACCTGGCCAACGCAAATTTTGCATCGTCAAACAGTGTCTGTAAACAATTTGCATAAGGAGCTCCAAACATTTTGAATTTACCGATATAATTTAATTAATAATTACACGATCGCGCGTCCAACGTAACTATGGATTGTAAAATTTGCACAGATAAGCAATACCCTCAGATCCGGTTACTCTAACGTTTTTGATCGAAGCTCAAATTATTATAGCGTCTAATTTTCAATTTCAATGAGTTTTTGTTTGTGAATTTACTGAAACAGGGAACATGTGAATTTAAAGCCCTTTTGCGTGAAAAGCAAAGAGCGACGAGGTGATTTTAACGCCGTTAAGCTAGCATTAGATAAAGCCTTTGTGCACCGTGCAATAAATAAACGTCGTTGCAGGGGGAACGCTACACGGGGTCTTCGAAAAGGAACGAAAATGCTCGATAACCTTGCGAAAAGTCCCTCTAGTGGGCACTTACTCCTGCCTGAAAAGTGGTTGTGAATTGGAAATGCTTAAAACGAAAAGAAAAGAGGAGAATAGTGTCCTGCCAAACTAACTGTTCGAAGCAAAGTAGGAGTACCTTCTCCCCTCCCTTGGTACCCTCCGCTTCTTGACTCGTTGTATAAGGTTTCGCATTGTCTCGTGGAAACAAAAGGCAAGTAGCTTATGCCCTGCATTCAAAAGCTCGCAAAGTTCAGTCTCAAGTGCTTGTCTTTTGCCCAGACCCTTCTTCTTCCCCCTCCTCTACACTTCTCTATTTCTCAATTTTCTCTCTTTCCGTTTACGAATTTCTATATTCATCGTTCTGCCTCCTGATGTGCCCTACTAGGGTTTCTTTATTCTTCAATGTTCCTTTTACCAGAGTACTGCTGTTACTTTGAAATTACCTTCTCTGTTTTCCTCGTCTTAACCACTTCTTCCGATTCCTGCTCCCAACCGCGCGAATCTTCTACTTGGCGTTTCTTCTTTCCACGCTCGTGGGCATTAATTAATATTAAACTCAGGGTAATGGCGCGTTTTATAAACCGGTTCTGCATTTCGAAGAGATTTTGACTTTGATCGCTGGCTAAAGAAATTCCATCTTTTGATTACAACCAGAGAGGTTCTTTTACCAGTAAACTGTTGCACGAGCATCGTAACGTAAGGCAAATTTTTTCAAATAAATTTTCTGTTCAAAATAACGCGGAAAACTCTGTGTGTGTACCTCTGTGAACTAACTAGGAGACAAAGAGTAATCCTATGGAAGATCTCAGCCACTAAAATTATGAACCAAATCCGAAAATGGATAGGAATTATAGAAATAAGTTAAAGCAACGTTTAAGAGGAGATTTTCGTGTAACAGTGTTAAAATTTAGTTTACTTTTTTAATTTTTGTGTAAAGAATTAAAAGTTGTATTGTTGCTGATTAACGTAGACGTTAAGTCTTCGAATAACCAATTGTTTTTGTACACCGTTACTCCACACAACCTAGTATACCGATAATAAAGAGTATTCGAGAGGAATACAATATCAGATTGAAATGAGGTGAGAGTATTATCAATGTATTGGCGAAACCCTCCCGATGAAAACGAGTACAAACACGGCACCATTCGGACAATTTTTAATTATACGCAATTGAGAATTTTCAAAAATAGTTTGAGCAAGTCAAAATGTGGTGAGAGTATTAGCAATGTATTAGTGAGATTCTCCCGTTGAAAATGAGTACAAACACGGCACTATTCAGACAATTTTTAATTATATGTAATTGAGAATTTTTCAAAAATAGTTGGAGCAAGTCAAAATGTGGTGAGAGTATTATCAATATATTGACGAGATTCTCCCGTTGAAAATGAGTACAAACACGACACTATTCAGACAATTTTTAATTATACTCAATTGAGAATTTTCAAAAATTGTTTGAGGAAGTCAAAATGTGGTGAGAGTATCATAAATGTATTGGCGAGATTCTCCCGATGAAAATGAGTACAAACACGACCTAGTTCGGACTACTTTTTAATTTTGGCTATCTCAAATATTCTCAATTTTTTGAAATTTGAAAAATTCTCAATTACGTATAATTAAAAATTATCCGAATGGTGCCGTGTTTGTACTCGTTTTCACCGGGAGAATCTCACCAATACATTTATACTACTCTCGCCTCATTTTGACTTACTCAAACTATTTTTGAAAATTGAGTATAATTAAAAATTATCCGAGTGGTATCGTGTTTGTACTCATTTTCATCGGGAGAATCTCGCCAATCTGATTTTGCAAGAAACTGTTGACGAGAATTCCCACCTCAAACGAGCGTTTCCATGTTCGTTGACCATTCGATTTGTAAAACGTTTCAGACCGACGCGTACCTTACAGCATACCGTCAGATTGGAAGACGTTGTGGTTCAGCAATCTGGACGAGCTGCAAAGAGTAAACGATGCAAACGACAACAACACCGTTTCGAACGTCACGGTGCAGCTGGGTGGGACAGCGTTTTTGCATTGCAAAGTTCGGAATTTGGCGGAAAGAACGGTGTCCGACGCCGAGGTAAGAACATCCTCAACCTCCTCTTTAAACCGCGAGAACGAGCCAACTGTAATTTGTCACTGGCTAAGATTTCAACACTGATTAACGATTGCACACCTGTTTCAGATATCCTGGATACGGCGACGTGATTTCCACGTCCTGACCAGCTCCATGTTCACGTACACGAGCGACGAGCGGTTTCAAGTATTGCATCCAGAGGGCTCGGACGATTGGACTCTTCAAATCAAGTACGTTCAAGAAAGAGACAACGGGAGCTACGAATGCCAGGTAATACGACTACTTACGCTGGCGAAGTTGTTTCATCGTTTCGAATTGTTAACCGCTTAGATGGCAACTGCACCTGGCGAACGTTAAATTCCATTTTCATTGGTGCAACATTTCGCTACAGAATCCAACGTTTCGACGGCAGCCACTTCGAAAGGACAATACGCGCGAAGATGCGCAATGTATTATCCGTTCGAGGTCGTTGAACGACCATCACAATATGTTTCGTTTTAACGTGTTTTTCGAACGTTAAATATTTTTCACCCCTATCGTGGTTCAAGTACTTTTTAAACCGGATGATACAAAGTATAAAAACATAGGATTCAGTGAGCCGTGGTATTTTCCGTCTAAAATCGTACAGAGTTTAGTCAAAAAATGTAGTCAAAAACGTGTGCAGAGTTTCAACATAATTATTAAGAGACATTTTCTAAGCTCGTTAATTATTATGAAATTACGTAAACGATAAATAACTTGATAAATGATATGCAAGGTGTTCGGCCATCTCTGGGAAAAATTTTAATAGGAGATTATAGAACCCAAAATAAGACAAAAATCAAGAATATCAATTTGTTGATTGGGGCTTCGTTAAAAAGTTATTAACAAATTAAATTAAAAAATTTCAAATCGTTCTGGAAAAATTATTTTTGGTTGCGGGGGACAATTACAATCATTTTTGGTCAATAGACATACCCTCGAAATTCTACGTACTTTTGAAAAAAAAATTCGAGTAGGTATGAAATTTTTCGACAAAATTAAAACATTTCAAATCGTTCTAAAAAAATTATTTTTAGTTGCAGGGGTTAATTACAATCATTTTTGGCCAATAGACATACCCTCGAAATACTACCCACTTTCGAGAAAAAAATTCGAGTAATTATGAAATTTTTCGACAAAATTAGAACATTTGAAATCGTTCCAAAAAATTGTTTTTAGTAGCAAGGGTCAATTACCATAATTTTTGGTGAATAGACATACTCGCGAAATCCTACGCATTTTCGAGAAAAAAATTCGAGAAGGCATGAAATTTGTTGACAAAATTAGAATATTTGAGATCGATCCAAAAAAATTATTTTTAATTGCAGGGGTCAATTACAACCTTTTTTGGTCAATAGACACACCCCCGAAATCCTACTTTTAAGAAAAAAATTCGAGGTGTGAAATTTTTGACAAAATTAAAAAATTTCAAATGATAAACGTTAATAAATTTAAAATTTAAACGTTAATAACTTTTCAACGAAGCCTAATCAACAAATTGCTATTCTTGATTTTCGTCTTATTTTGGCCTCTATAGTCCCCCATTACTATTCCTTCCCAGGAGTGTCCGAACACCCTGTATATTTAAACAAAATTAAATTTTGTATTCTTTCTACATTTTGCAGGTCTCAAGGAGTACAGGGATATTATCATACTTTGTCAATCTAAACATAGTAATACCAGAAGCATTTATATTAGGGAGCGGCGAACATCACGTCGACGTAGGATCCATTATAAATCTCGTGTGCATAATAGAAAAGGTAAGAATATTCTTTATTCATCGGCCATTATTACGATTCTCGAGCAATTTAAGACTGTATAACTGTATAACTACTTTATAACCTGTCGACCGGGGATATCAGGAAACGTAAATTTATAGGTTAAGTTGCTCGCAAGAACTTGCGTCGAGCGAAACAAATATGGCGGCCCTTTTTTACGTATGTATGTACAGTGGTCCGCTGACTTGAAGCCCCGCGAGACGGCACAGGGGCAAGTGGAGTCGGACCGCCCATTTATCTGTCTCGCTCCCTTGCTCTCAGGCAGTCCACATGTGTGTGTAACTGCCGCGACGAATAGCGAGCTAGAGACCAATGTGTGCGTGGGAATACGTGTGCCCCTTCTACTTCTCCCGCATTCCTTCCGCGGGACTTCAAGTGAGCGGAGGACAGTACAAACCTGGCAAGAAATAGATTGTCTTTGAACCGGTAGACGAATGCATCTATCACAAATAACAGATATCCCGTGCATTTACGCGAGCCCCATTGATACATAATAATCGTGTCGTGCATACGCCGCGAATGAAGCCACGGCGCACCAAGTCCATCCGCTTAACGAAGGTACATAGAAACGCACAGCTTGCAATTCGCGCTAACATTGAATGAACCTTCGCGAACGTACAGCGGAAAACCCCCTAGCGAAATAGGCGCAGCTTAGTCACGAATACAAGAGTGGAAGTGCATTAAAGCAGCATTGCTGCCGCTGCAAACTCGACACTATCGGGGAAACGAAAATAAAGTGTGGCGTTTTTTTTTTTTTCTCTTGGCGAACTGGCTCCCGTATGTACCTATACAGGGTGTTCGGCCACCCCTGGAAAAAATTGTAACAGGGGGTTCTAGAGGTCAAAATATGGCGAAAATCAAGAATATCAATTTCTTGACTGAGGATTCGTTAAAAAGTTATTAACAATTAAATTCAAAAATTTCAAATCGTTCTAGAAAAATTATTTTCGGTTGTGGGGGTTGATTACAATCATTTTTGATAAATATACATACCTCCGAATTCCTACCCACTTTTGAGAAAAAGAATTGGGTAGCTATGAAATTTTTCGGCAAAAAAAAAATTATTCAAATTGTTCTAAAAAGATTATTTTCCGTTGCGGGGGTTAATTACAATCACTTTTAGTAATTACACATACCCCCGAAATTCTACGCACTTTCGAGAAAAAAATTCCTTATTGAAAATCTAATTAAGTGCTTCAATTTTTCGTCGAAAATGAAAAATTACAATTCATTCTGGAAAAATTATTTTCGGTTGCGGGAGTAAATTACAATCATTTTTGGTAAATAGACATACCCCCGAAATGCTGCGCATTTTCGAGAAAAAAATTCAGTACGGGTGGAACTTCAAACGTTAATAACTTTTTAACGAAGCCTCCATCAACAAATTGGTATTCTTGATTTTCGTCTTATTTTGGGGTAGCCGAACGCCCTGTATATGTACACAGAAAATCTGATACAAAAAGAACACATCCTAAGTGTCTAGCATACGGGAAGACAAAAAGTCCATGTGTAAACTGCACATAACCTCAAATGGTATATATTAATTGAATAAAGTCATCGGTAGGCCACTAGAGGTCGTCCAAGGGTTAAGAATTCCTACGCGCTAAATTTATAGTATTATGAATAATATGGCTTCTAAAAGGCACGGTATAAGAAGATCAAGTATTCATGAGTGCAGTATACAAGGTATCCGTGCATAAATGTCCAAACAAACGCCTCGTAAATGGCGAGGTTAGAAAATTGAAACTACGCTTTGCAACGCGTTTGAACGATTTTACGAAATTAAAAAGGTCGCGTGAAAGGAACGGTTCTCTCGGTGCCAGTAACCGTAACCGTAAAACTAATATCTACGTCGTTGAAAAGATGTACTCACGTTCGCTGAGATTCGGAACAAACGGCTGACTTCGACGTTCCATTTCGCTTCATCCGTTCCTCGCGAGTCACACTCGTATCCGGCAGAGAAATGCATTCGATTTAGACACCAGACACGCTGAAAACGATTCACGTACGAGACAATAACTTCTCTCTTTTTGCCACTCGCGAACAGTTAACGGAAAGCTATCTCGCGCCAAAAAATGACTACTGGATCCATCGGGAGAAAAATTATACTTCCGATAGACCCCGTATCGACATCTATCGATCCTGGTTAAACTTAATTACGCTAGATGGCGTCGAGATTTTATCGGGTTGACGTATCGATTCTCGATGCGGTCCTAACTAAGCCGTTTGCAATTTACGTTATAATAATTAGACAAATATCGACAAAGTGTAAATAGTGCTATCCAGTTCTTTAAATTGTCATCCCGATTAAATATTTCAGCTCGACGCTCGAAACGCGTTATTAAAATTTCAAGTACTGATCCAAGTCGTTTCGAGACGCCCCCTATCGAATAAATTAAAAATTCATTGTAATTAATGTTAGAGTACCTATCAAAATAACTACCTCTTACCGGTTCAATAATTGTAATAATTTATTGAAAGTATTATACGGTGTAAAATTTTTCACTCGTTTTTTCCAAGTTTAATATTTATCTACGTCATTATCGAATCAATTTCTTGATCAAAGTTTCAATTCCGTGATGTCAGTGTTTATTTACGCAAACTAAATGTTTCGAATGTAGAAACTTACTCTCCGTATATTGGATACGAATAACCGTAACGAATTTTCGAAACATTGATTTTGAATCCCCCCCTTTGATCAGAACTTTAGCCAGACTTGTTATCCTATAACAGACGTGTTAAATTCACGTTCGCCCCAGGGTAAATTTGCACTTTGCCACTGTGTCACAAGCTGCAAACGTACAGTTATTTGACTATAAAATATTTAAAAGCTATGGAAAATAAATTGCTAAAAATATTTAATTTATTTCCCGCGTAAATGAATTTGTCGATTGTCGGAACAGTAAAAAAGAATAAAAAGATCAAACCGGCTGCAAGATCTGATGGATCGAGCACCTAACCTATAAGATAATACGTCACTGCTGTCGTATATACTTCAAATTTAACATTTATAGTCCCGACCCTTATTATTACTGCTATAATAAAAGTATTTGGAAAAATGCAACTCGTTTCAAGCGTACGATGCCAATTTTCTTACAACAAATATTTGTTTTTAACCGTTTCAGAGTCCAACACCTCCGCAATATGTTTTCTGGTATCATAATAATCGAATGATAAGTTTCGACACTACGCGAAGCAGTGTAACGGTACAAACCGATTCTAGTTCGACTCAAAGTCGGCTGACAATTCACCAAGCGGTGGAATCGGATACAGGCAACTATACGTGCAACGCCTCGAACACCAAGCCGGCGTCCATTTTTGTTTTTGTCACCGAAGGTACATACGATGAACATTTCTTATTTTTTTTTTCATTTTCTAGTAAACTTTTTATCCTGTTGCTGGCGTACAGTTGGGGACAAAAGTAAGAGGACAGATGATGAAAATGAATACCAATGAAATTTAACTATTGTTGCATCAGAATTACAGGTTTAACCTCTTTAGGGACGTTTTTTTTTGGTCTATTTATTATTGACAGTAAAGAAAATTATAATAAAAAAACTAAGCGTCCACATATGTGGCCAAGGACGTGAAGAGTTAAGCTTTATTTAACATTTATCTTTATAGTACAGTGAAAACTCGATAAATGTCCTCAAGAGCTGTTCCATAAATGATACATTTTTATCCCCACCACTAGGGGGATCCCCCTTGAACCAGTGAGGCGAAGTGTAACCGGAGACGTAGCGGCTTTCTTTAAAAATCTTTATTGCCTTCGTCACTTAGTTTAAATGTCCCTGTCAGTGTGACCACACTACTGTACAAGAAGAAAGTTTTTTATTTTTTACTTTTTTTTAATAAAAATTTTACTATCATGTGGGGAAGATTTTTCTAATTAAAATGTGACTAAACACGATATAAATCGGCCAATATTTGTTACCATAATATTGAATTAAATATTGTGTACTCGTATCTTCGCAAGGTCAGTGGATTGGTACATTTATCGAACAGTGGTAGCTAACGAAACCCCCTATTTCATAAGTGTTGCAGTTTTTGATCACTTACGAAACGGTGGAACCGTTCCGTTTGAAAATAGCTACCTCCCGTTCGATAAATGTAGCCAGCACCTCGATGCGTCGTTCTTTGATATTTCCGAACATAGAAAAGGACAGCACAAGAAGGATAAATAAAGAGAGAAAGACTCGCAAGTACAATATTTAATTCAATATTATGCTACCAAATATTGACCGATTTATATCGTGTTTAGCCTCATTTTAATCAGAGAAATCTCCCCAACATGATAGTGAAATTTTTATTAACAAAAAGTAAAAAATAAAAAACTTTCTTCTGTGCAGTAGTGTGGTCACACTGACGCGGATATTTAAACTGGGGCGATAAATCCGAGTTTCAGTCCCTCTTTCTTCTTTAGCTACTGACTCTTTCTACGTTCGAAGCGTCGGCAAACTACAATCAAATTCGAAAGACGATTCTCCTATTCCGTAAGTGTTGCTGACCGGACCCGGAGTAGCGACATTTATCGAGTTTTCACTGTATATAGATTATTGGGACCTTAGTACCAATTGATGGTATTATGAATGCTGATTTATTAGCGTAATCAATGAAAATTTGAAAGAGGTAATAATTATACAGGGTGTTGAGCCATCCCTGGGAAAAATTTTAATGGGGGATTCTAGAGGCCAAAATATGGCGAAAATCAAGAATAGTAATTTGTTGATTGAGACTTCGTTAAAAAGTTATTAACGTTTAAAGTTAAAGTGTGCAGCGCGCACGGTTGCCGTCTCACAGGCGTAACTATAAACGTTAATAACTTTTTAACGAAGCCTCAATCAACAAATTGCTATTCTTGATTTTCGTCTTATTTTAGCCTCTAGAATCCCCCATTAAAATTTTTCCCAGGAGTGGCCAAACACATTGTATATTTGGATTAATAAATACATTAGTATGTTTTACAAAACACATCCTACGTAGTGCCAACACAATATAATAAAACGTTGCCAACCTAAACTATCTTTAACAGAGTATGAAATTTTTTAGTGATTCAGATATGAAGTTACTCGGACACAAACTCAAATACAAACTTCCTTTGGAGGAGCAAACGGGTAAAATGGAATTCTTTAATAATTTAAAATCAGCACTTTACACTATTTGACAAAGATTACCTAGAAAATCTTGTAAAAAGGTGGCAATACTAAATATTAATTAGTAGTTTGCAGTGTCCACTTACTTCTGTCTCTCTGTAATTGTTTGATTTTTTGTTTAAACCTAATGTGGGTTTACACCGATCGATAATATTTATTTTAATTGTTATTTAAATAATCTACATACTATTAGGAAATTGCTATATTGGGAGGATGTTAAAAAAGTGCCAAATTTTTACCCTGCCAGGCACCTAAAATAATTATAAGGCATTATTCTACGGATTCTGCACTTCGAATTGTGCATAATTGTTTATAGCAAATGTGATGGGAAGGTCGTGAAAAATATGGTTGAAGTTGACGATGCTATGAAAGACGAATCATAACTTTCTGACTTCAAATGACTATAACTTTGAAGTGAATGCATAGAACGTAACAATTCCGACGCTATTTTGTAAAGAAAAGTCAATATTTATATAATATGCAAGGAAATGTTGCCCAGATTGTTGGTTAGTAACAATAAAACGCAACAGATTAAGATGATGTATCAGGATGCAAATATTCCTCAAAGTATGTTAATGGTATACTTTAATTGAGTTCTAAAACAGGATGGAATGCATTCAATATGAAGAACTATTTTATATTTTATCCTCTTCTTCTTTAGATGATATTTCTTCGATTAAATATCAGTTGAGGAAGTTTGCAGGTGAATGTATGGATGTTTGGTGTCACGCAAATCCAAAGTACCATAATACTGTTGCAATATGTGAACAACACCCCACAATACTTTGGCCTATTTTACACACACAAGTATGTCCAACAATTGCAGCAAGTCCAACCTTACTTTTAACGAACTCTGTAAACTGCAACCAAAGATGCCCCTTTTTCTAGGCAAATGACTTCTGTCAATGTTCAGAAACACTTTTAAACTCTGGGTACTGTTTCACAAAGCAAATCTATTTCTGAAAAAGTGCTGTCACCCTTGCTATTGACATTTCTGCTTCGATAGCATCCCACACAATATCAATTGTCATTGCACTTCCGGTATTTGTTTCGAGCTAACTTTGCAAGTGTCTTGCTACAAATAATACAGTTTCTCTCCATTTTACACTATAACGTGCGCTACAATACACTGTAAGAATTACATTAGGCTACAAAGTACGTTACACAAATCACACTAGACTACAAAGTATACTACACAAGCACACTACAAAAATCGTAATACAAAATGTCTTCAAAATAAAATAGAATCTCAAATCTAAAAAAATCTAGGAATCATTTGGTTTTCACTGGATAGCATCTCATGTAAGACTGTGGTCCAATTCCAGATAAAAGAAAAAGTATCATGGGAAGCCATAGTGGTGTTATCGTCTCCAGATAAACACTTCTACAAAAATGTAACGAACCAGCAGAACCACCTGAGGTATAAACACTTCAGATCGCACGATAGCAACCATATCTTATACATTGTGAACGTCATCGTTAATGTTAAATTCATTAAAAAATTATGATCCAAAAAAGAAGGGGATGAAATATAATAACAGTTTTTCATATTGAATGCATTTAATTCCATTCTAGGAAAGAGTTATACCATTAAACATATTTTGAGGAATATTTGCATCCTAATACATCATCTTAATCTCTTGAGTTTTATTGTTACCAATCAACAATCTGAGCAACATTTCCTTGCATATTATATAAATATTGACTTTCCTTTACAAAATAGCGTCGGAATTGTTACGTTTCATGCATTCACTTCGAAGTTCTAGTCATTTGAAGTCAAAAAGTTATGATTCGTCAGACTTAACCCAGACCTAACCCCAACGACGTTTTTCACGACTTTCCCATCATATTTGCTATAAACAATTGTGCACAATTCGAAGTGCAGAATCTGACGGGGTACAAGTTTGGCACTTTTTTAACATCCTCCTTTCTTTATTCATCTGTTCACTTACATTTGTCCCTGACTGTAGCTAGAAATAAGTTTCGTTGCAATCGCTAATCACGTGTTTACGTTGAATGTTCCAGGTGACAAAATGGCAGCCATACAGCGCCGTAAGACATCGGCCGCGAAGAAAAATTTCTGTGAATTGCTAGTACTAATTGTCACCATTGCGATAGACGTCGTTTTAACGCGATAAGCGTTTCTCTTCGATATGTCCATAATTATTATTATACCGTTACTTCCGTTTGTGATAGATAGGCTACTATTCTGCGATTTTATCCCTCTATTCGCTCTCCTTCTTTCCCTTTGAGCTGAACATCTTCGTACCATGCGACTTCTCAATTTCTTACGTAAAATTTTCCTTACATACTCCACGTTATTTTCGTTTTATACGCCATACGGTCGTAATTCTATCATTGTCCGCCATCTTTGTTTTCCGTTCCTTTTGTCTGGTTTCATCGTCAAGGTTGCCGCCGGCTGAATTATTTCGATATACGAGATTTTCATGGTAGATTATGCGTGTTTCCACGTTTTGCTGAAACGTAATAGAAATACTCGCGAGTAATTGCAACTTCTCTCTCTCTTTCTCTCTCTCTCTCTTTCTCTTTCTCTCTCCTTTCATTTCCTCCCCTCCTGTTTCTAGCCACCCATATATAAATTTTCTCCAACAAAGTACGCGTTAAAATGGTCTCGAATAATAAAAATTATCTCGCCACCGAGATCGTTTTGGAACCATAAAAATACTTGTTTTTCCGTTACACAAGGCGAACGTAATTCTCTGTAATCGGTGTACGTGACCAAGTTACGTAAAGTACGTATCAGATTTGTTATGAAATAGAAGCACCAAGATAGCTAATTTCCAAGAGGTAAATAAAAACACGATAGACCGAGATATTTTGTTGGAAACACATATCCATAGCGAAAATTTTTGTACATTATTTACTTTTTCGTAAGCTTTTGGAACAACAAATTCACTTTCTTTCTCGTGTGTGACTTTGTCGAAATTCTTTTTAGAAACCGGCGGCAAATCGTTTATCGTTCGAAGATTAAATAAAAACGATGCTCGTACGGAAGCATCTGCGGCGGTAAAAATTTTATTTCACGTTTTTGTACTCGGTTTATTCTCTTTGATACTTGGAATGAGTTCTCGATCAGTTTAATGGCCATCGGTAATGGGCAACAATTCCACGTCGTGGCAGTTTTCCACAACTTTTGCTCTTCGCTCTCGTTCGATGAGAGACATGGCACAGACACAAGCATGCGTGAACGAAACTTTGAAATTGATAGCGTTATTTGCGAGACCACGCATCCCATTTAATAACCCTCGGCCCTTCTACTTCGATTCTTGCACTGCTACTATACAGGGTGTTCAACCAACCCTGGAAAAAAATTTTAATGGGAGACTCTAGAAGCCAAAATAAGACGAAAATCAAGGATACCAATTTGTTGATTGAGGCTTCGTTTAAAAGTTGTAAAAACATTTCCGGCCACACAGTATATTTGCGGTAAACGAATTTTTTTCTCGAAAGTGCGTAAGATTTCGGGGGTAAGTGTATCCATAAAAAATGGTTGTAATTAACCCTTGCAACTGAAAATAATTTTTTTAGAATGATTTGCAATTTTTTTTTTCGGCGAAAAATTTACGCAGCTACCATTTTTCTTGGAAATACGTTTTTGATTTTTAGTACTTTTGTTTGACGTCCTGCGGAAATTTTGTTTCATACTTTTTTGTAGGTATCCATGAACTCTATTTCAGAAAAAAGTTTCATTTAAATATATTCACTATCGTAGGAGTTATGGCGGTTTGAAAATTGGATCATTTTTAGGGGGGTTTTCTCGCTTTACGGGATTAAGGAACAACTTTTTCATTATTGTTAAAATTTCTACATATTCTTCACTAAAATACGCGTAGTTTGCCTGTTGAAACATTAAAATCCTTCAATTAGTTTAGAAGTTATGGCCTTTTAAAGATACGCATGAAATTTTGGAGAGACATTTATGGCCTGAAATTATATTTTCGATAAAAAATTTTTTTCTCGAATATGCGTAGGATTTCGGGGGTATGTTTATTCACCAAAAATTATTGCAATTAACCCCGGCAATCAAAAATAATTTTTCCAGAATGATTTGAAATTTTTAATTTCGCCGAAAAATTTCATAGCTACTCGAATATTTTTCTCAAAAGTGGCTAAGATTTTGGGGTTATGTCTATTCAACAAAAATTATTGTAATTGACCCCCACAACCGAAAATAATTTTACCAGGACGAATTGACATTTTCTAATTTTGTCGAAAAATTTCATACCTTCTCGAATTTTTTTCTCGAAAGTGGTTAGGATTTCGGAGTAATATGTAATAACCAAAAATTATTGTAATTAACCCCAGTAACTAAAAATAATTTTTTTGGAACGATTTCAAATGTTCTAATCTTGTCAAAAAATTTCATAGGTACTCGAATTTTTTTCTCGAAAATGGTTAGGATTTCGGGGACGTTTCTGTTCACCAAAAATGATTGTAATTGACCCCTGCAATCAAAAATAATTTTACCAGAACAATTTGAAATTTTTTAATTTTGTCGAAAAATTTCATACCTTCTCGAATTTTTTTCTTGAAAGTGGGTAGAATTTCGAGGGTGTGCCTACTGACCAAAAATGATTATAATTAACCCCTGCAACTGAAAATAATTTTTTCAAAACGATTCGAAATTTTTTAACTTAATTTTTTAATAACTTTCTAACGAAGTCTCAATCAACAAATTGATATTCTTGATTTTCGTCTTATTTTGATCTCCAGAAACTCCCACTAAAACATTTCCCAGAGTTGGCCAAACACCCTGTATAATTAATCACCACTTGGTTTCAATTTCATTTTATCGACTATCACGCGTCCACCATTGTTACATCAAAACGCGAATGCATGATCGATATTAAGTACATTGTTCCTGTCCGTGGCAACTATCCATATTGTTATTTTCACCTTGAGAAATTACTAAAATTCGTGACTCAAAATTAATATTAAAAAAAAAAAAACAATCATTATGACTCCGATATCTTTGTTGGCGACTCAGAGTCTACATCGGGCAATCAGAAAATTGACAATGTACGATTAGAAATAGATTTCCCAGACATATCTCAATCAAAAGAACATTCGTCGGAATCGAAGATTCCTCGTTTACGAATAAACGCCGAGGGTGAAAAATAATGCGAATAAAATGAAACACTTCGTGATCGTTTTACATGATTTTAACGTTTCGCTAACTTTTAGGGTTCGTTGTGTACTCGTCGACGTTTCGTCTGCATTAGAATCGGAGTTATTTTCAAGACACGCGCAAAGAGAGGATAACCAGAGAACAACGTTACATATCGTGATCGCGTTAAAAATGTCACTGATCCGGAAACAGAAGAGTGTGATTTTTTTAACCGTGGACACAAGATCGACAAATAATAAATGCAGACGAAAAGTTTTTAAAAAGGGATCAAGTAACGAAGAATACTGTATTTATTATTCGCGTTTGATAGAATCCAGAGAAAATGGCGAAGAAAATTGCCGTGCCGATTCACGTAACAGGACGAACGTTTAAAAGAAAATGATCGTCGACGCGACAAAATGGGATTTTACAACTCTTCGAAATAAGTCTGCGTATTAGTTAGAAGTTCCGAATGCATGTACGATGGGCTCCCTTACGTTCCGCGAGCCCATTTGCGAGTACGAGTCTCACGTGAGTAGAATCGTATCGCGTGGTACTGCTATCGATTAAACAGAAGAAGTGTATGATAAACGGGACTACGAGAAAGCATAATAAAGAAAGCCACGACACTTGGACTTATTTCGGATCGATTCATTCACTCGCTTACCCCCACTATGCGCCTCGAAGTTTTCAAGTTGCCTCGTTTTCGACCAACCCTCGACAAAAACGACCCTTGTCACGCGGTATCACAAAGTATTCCATACAAAATAGACCTAAAACGGTAGTCGATCGTAGTAATTTATTAATTCGATTTACAAAACTAGGGTAAACATGGACGAGAGAAACGATATTGTACGCGTTCGGAGAAACGATCGTCAAGATGGCGGATGGACTTAATTTGAGTTGCCTCGAGGGCGAACGAACTGCAAGAGAAAGAGAGAGAAAGAGAAATAGGCGGATCTCTTTACCAAGAAGATGCAAGAAAGATTGATAGAAACGTAAGATCAGTAGGATAATAGGTAAATCTTTATTATTCGCGAGACATTCGATCTGCCATAGAAAATCTCTGTGTATTTACGCATCGTATGTATCATCTCGTAATTTTAAGTTAACGTTTACTGTTGTAACGTTCCTTTCTTTCTTTTTGTTTACCTAGATACATGGAGAGAACGAGAATTATTTCGTACGTTGCTTAACATTTTCGTCCGCCTTTTTACCGAAACCTTTGTGTCTTCGACCCATTTATTCGCATCCGTTGAAACCGAATTTTAATAAAATCCACAATTGAAATATCGACTTTTGTTCGTGTTTGTATTATACATCATGGATCCGTGAAGGAGGAAGAACCGAAACGAGCGCGTCGAAATCCCCGTTAAAAAATCTCGACAATATTTTTTAGTTAACGATCCCGAACCACGCACGAGTGGTCTCACGCGTGTAATATAAGTCTGATTATTACGAAAACCAACTGCATCGTAGATTATTATAACAAGGTAGACGGTTTGTGATCCGAGACGTTTGCGTATAACAGAATGGAACAAGTATTATTACGAGGGTCGTTCGATAAGTCCTTAGAAAATCCAAGATGGCGCCACCACAATAACACAGACGAAGATAATTATTAGGTGTACGAATGAATAATCCAATTTTTTCTAGTACTTTCTGTAATTTTAAGCCATCTTTCAGGCAGCTGATGAATTCCGTCTCACAAAAATTTTACGTTTTTGGACCTGATAAAGTCGTCAAGCCATTTTCGGATCTCATCCACTGATTGGAAGTGCATATCGGATGAGGCGTGTTGCATCGGCCCGGAACAAGTGATAATCAGATGGAGCAATGTCTGGTGAATACGCGAGGTGCTGCAAGACGTCCCAACCAAGACTCATTATGGTGTCTTTTGTATGGGAAGCAATATGTGTTCTGGCGTTGTCATGCAACAATTTCAATGGACGTCCTCCTTTGCCAGTATACGGACGTTTACGTTCCAATGCTCGACTCAAGCAGATCAATTGACGTTGGTAGCAGTCCGCAGTAACTGTTTCACCCGGTTCCAACAACTCATAATAAACCACGCCCTTGATATCCCACCAAATGCAGAGAAGAACCTTCATTCCGAAGCGATTGGGTTTTGCAAACGATGTTGATGCTTCTCCGGGATTCACTCATTACTTTCTGCGTTTCGGATTGTCATAGAGTATCCACTTCTCATCGCCCGTAACGATTTTCCACAAGAAAGACTTTCGATGCTGCTTATTGAGATGAGAAAGACACGCTGCCACATGTTGATTTTTGTTGGTTGCAGTGAGTTCATGTTGAACCCATTTTCCTTCATTCTGGATCTTTCCCATCTCACGTAGGCGTTTGGAAATCGTTTGCTGGGTTACTCCTAATTGTTCTGCAAGTTCTCTTTGCGTTTGTGCCGCATTCTCAGCGAGCAGTTGTTCCAAATCATCGTTGTCGCACTTCCTTAGGCCTCCTGGGCGTTGTTTGTCGAATAGACTCAAATCACCGCTTTTAAACCGCTCTAAACCAAAATGTGCACACATCATACGATACAACACCTTCACCGAGAAAGGAACAAACCGATTCACATGCTCTTGCAGCATTTTCCCTTGTTGGAATTCGTAAAGAATGCAGTGTCGGATATGCACCTTATCTGTTGCCATTTTCGAATCTACTGAATTGGATACTTTTGAAAGTTGTGTTGGGCCTTTCGCTAAACTATCTTTTGTTTTAACTAGCTATATGTCAACACTATATGACCATAAAAGAGCGGGAAAATCTATTGACTTTAAACTTGATTTTATAACTGCTTAAGATAATTTGGATTATTCATTTGTACTAATAAAATGAAGTATTATTTAAAATTTCAAATAGGCAAGTTTACTTTCTATGTGCACTACCGTCCATAAGTATTTGGACACTTCACGAATGCCGACTAAAGAGTCGATATCTTTGTTTCAATTGATGTAGTTCTAATTGGATTAACATGAATTTATGTTATTGATGTTAAAGTAATACTAAAGTGCACTGTATGCAAAATTCTTACTGACAAATGGACGAAAATTGTTAAATATTGCCTTCGTCTATACATAATGAGGGATTCTAGAGACCAAAGTAAGACGAAAATCAAGAATACTAATTTGTTGATGGAGGCTTCGTTAAAAAGTTATTAACATTTAAAGTTCCGCCCGTACTAAATTTTTTTCTAGAAAGTGGGTAGGATTTCGAGGGTATGTCAAATGACCAAAAATGATTGTAATTGACCCCTGCAAACGAAAATAATTTTTCCAG